AGTAATTGGACAGCACCTGGGGAACTGAGGCAGGGGAATCACAAGTTTGAGGCTAGCCTGGGCTACATAGTGAGACCCTGATTAAAAAAGAGGAGTGGGGAAAGAAAGACAGGAGGCCAAACCTGAGACTTTAAAGCAAGCCTCACAATGCTAAATGCTGCAAAGAAACCAAGCAGGAAGGAGGGAGGGGGCATTGGCAGCCACTTCAGCTTTCCTTCACAGGGCAGCCCCTCCTCCCTGCTCCTCCCCGTGCCACTGTCAGCATCCCCCAGTGTGACATCGCTTGCAGGCTCCAAGAGCAATATTGGCTTTGAGGCAGGTCCCAGCAGAGCCCTCCGGTGGGGGCTGGGATTAGTAGCCCCTACTTTCCTAGGGGCTCGTCCTTGGGGCTTTCCTTCCTATGGGGAGGGTTGTACTCTGACTCCTGGCAGAGGGGGAGGGTATACACAAGTGGCCTTTGATCGCATCAGACCCCCAGCATTCGCATTGTTTTTTGTTCCAAATCCCAGGCCAGGATTACATTCTGCTTTGCCTCCAGCAGGGAAGTTGGTGGGAAGGTGGGGCCTGTGTATGTGTATGGCTCTCTCTCTCTCTCTGTGTATACGCATATATATGTATGTGTTTATGTGTGCATCTGTGTATGTATGTGGTGTATTTGTAGGTATGTGTGTATGTATATGTATACACACGCATGTATGTGAATATGTATGTATTAGAATGTGGTTTAATATGCATGCATGTGTGGTTATGTATGTGTCTGTATATATGTATATAAATGCAAGTGTGTGAATATATATGTATGCATATGTGTGTATGCATGCATATATGTAAATGTGTCTCTGTGTGTTCTGGGAAATGAGAGGAGGGCTCACATCAATCCTGATACTCTCCAATAAGGTCTCCTGTTCACTTCCTCACAAGTTTTGGTAGCAGAGTAGCACAGCGAGAGCATGCATGGTCTATGGTCAACCATTACCAAGCGCAGGACACAGGACCTGCCCATCCTTCCAGGAGCAGCCAAGCCACTGTCCTTCCTAGGCTGCTGGTCTGACTGCCCAGAACTGAAGAGACAGAGACACAGGAGTGCTGTTCTGTATCAATCCTGTAAGCAACTTAGGGGAGAGAGGGTTTAATTTAGCTACAATTCCAAGTTATAGTTTATTACTTCAGGGAATTCACAGGCAGGAGCTTAGGGCATCAAGTCATATCACACTCACAGTCGAGCAGAGAGAAGGGAACGCATGCATGCTTGTGCTCCATTCTTATTTGGTACATGCTTCCTGCCAAGGGAATGGTGCCACCCACAGTGGGCTGGGTTTTCCCAAATCAATTAACTATGACAAACCCCAGCCCAGACATGCCCACAGCCTGACCCAATGTACACAATCCCTTTCTTTCCAAGTGACACTAGGTTGTGGTGACAATTAAAGCTTAAGGGCCCAAGGCGGGGCCTGCATGCTGAGTGTGTGTGGAGACAAAGAGGAAGTGTGGGACTGTGAGGTAATTTGACATGTTAAGTTAGAGGTGCCTAGGGGACCCCAGGAAGGCCTGCAGACTATCTTCTCTGGGGTTCTCAAAGGCTCCTGGGGGATAAGTTCTGAGGAGAAGCAAGGGATGCCAAGAAGAAAGCTGGAAGTGCATGCTGGGAGAGGAGACAGCTATCGTTAGCATCTTCCAGATGAAGAAGGTGAGTCAGCTTTCCCCTCGGCTGCCTACAGAGCTACTACTGCACAACACACCAGGGAAGCAGGAACTGGCTTGGCTACTCGGCTTACAATGGACTGCCACAGCCTGTCTTTGGTATCCATAAACACCACTTGTATGGCTTCATGACGCTTGCTCACAATGGCGTGCCTAGAATTCTGACCACGTCCCACATCAGTGGTGACCTCTGTGTTTGTAGTGCATGCTGATGTGTGACTCAACTCCCCTTCAAGGACGGACTGGGGCTTCAGGGAGCGACAACAGTCAGCCCCCAGCTGTAAGGCCACTGGGGGTGTGGGTCTCCCACCTGTGGGCAGAGAGCAGCCTTGCTCTACGCCAGGGAGGCCCACTGGAGATACCAAAGGCCTGGCCACCCTGGCCCATCTAGGGACATCTCTGGCAGCCATCTGGCTGCACAGCTTTAGGGCTGCCTGAGGGTGTTGCTGCTCCACCTCCTGGCTCCCCTCTCCCAGTGCTCTTCTGTGTGGCGTGACTCGGAGGTGTGCACAGCAGTGGGGACCTGAGCCAACACTGTTTACTGAAGCACCTCAGGGGCGCCCTGCCTGAGCTCTTTCCAGGTGAGGACAGGAGGCCCCAGACATGCAGGAGGGGGTCCAGGCCTGCAGCTACCAGCAAGGAGACATGCATGGAAAGCTAGCAAACTTCCTAATGCTGGGGCAGCACAGCTGCATTGAAAAGGGTCCAGTGAGATGGCTCAACAGGTAAGCATGCCTGCTGCCAAGCCTGAAGACCCAAGTTCAAGGCCATGACTCACGGTGGAAGGAGGGCCAACCTGTACAAGCTGTCCCCCAACCTCCACATGCGGTAGTGCACCCCACCCTACCCCCAATGTAAGTTTAAAAACTTTTTTTTTTCAAAGTGTCCATCTGCCTGCTGAATGTGGAAGAATCCAGGGCCGGGCGGCAGGAAGTCCTGGGGTTCAGCAGTGCCCAGGGGCCCCAGGGAAGTCAAAGGGACTTCCTGGGGCTGGGGGCTTTGGCTGGGGGCTGCCCCATGACCCAAAGTGCTCGCCCAACACCTAGGTGGGGGTGAAGAGGCGGGGTGAGGAACCAGGGAAGGAAGAGCCACCTGTTTGTCTTGCTTGTGGCACTGAGTGATCACTGAAGTGTCTGCCAGTGTGGATGATCAGAAGCAGCGCCTGCTCAGTGAGGAGTCAGCGGTGAGGTGATGAGCAGGTTCAAGAAGGGGAGGAAACAACGAAGAGGAGAAGGAACTGAGGAGGAATGGAGCATGCCAGGAGTGGAGACAGGGCAGCTTTTCTTCATGTCTACCTGTCCTACAGAGTGACCTCTGGTGGAACAAGGCAGACCCTATCCTGGAGTCAGATGCCCCAATCAGACAAGTGACTGCCCAAATTGTTGGTGAGAAGCTGCTGGTGAGGGGCTTGTCCATCAGGGCTGGGTGGGCAGCGATGCCCTGTCTGGGAGGGCAGTGAGGTGCTTGCTTGGGTGCAGAGTTGATCAAGCACTGAAACCCTCACTAGCCAAGATAGAGAATTTAAGTTTTAAAATCCAAACTGGGAGTCAGAGGCAGGTGGATCTGAGCTTGAGGCCAGCCTTGTCTAGTTAACAAGTTCCAAGTTAGCTAAAGCTACATACATACCTTAAAAAAAAAAAAAAAAAAAAAAAAGGCAAAGTATAGCTTATGGCAGCTCACAGCTGCCTGTTTTTGTAAAGCTCTGCTGGAGCCAGTATTAGAATCAGCTCTTGCTTTTGAAGCCACAGCTCACCCCACCCCAGCCCACCACAAGTGGGGCCTTCAAGTCCTGCACAGCAGTATTCTGTGGGCATGGCCTGCTCATCTCATTTACCACATTTTCTAGGAGGCACCCTGCATTCCAAACTCTAAAGGAGCAGCCACTACTTGTGACCGCAAGGACTGCTTGCAAGAGCAGTTATAGGAGACAGTGGTCCTCTCAGGGTTGAACGTGTCGGTGTTGTACGTCCCTGGCCCTGGCACTCAGTGACTGTAGCCTGCCTTCATTTCCTCTGTGCCTGTTGCCTCCTGTGCAAAGACCTTGGTGAACCTCCACTGGGCCAGCACTGTCAAACCAGAGTCTGAGTCCCAGCCACCACTCCTGGTGGGTCAGATTTCACAAACAGGTTGGGCTTTGCACCAAGCTGCCGGGGCTGTTGATTCATCCCAGCAAAAACACTTCTTGCTCCCATGTAGACTGAGGATCTGGAGCTGCACAGGTTCCCCTGGGGCCCTTTGAGACTCCAGTTCTGGGCTAGCTCATTGGCATCACAGGCAAGGGCTGGGAGCAGGATAGCACTCCTGCTGGGCATCCACTGTGCCAACATCAGCCTCTCTCTCTCTCACCGCAAAGACTTGTCCGTGGCGCTGCTGCCACCATTAGGCCACACACTAGCTTTACCACATGCTCACTACTGCTCCCTCCCAGGCCACTGTCCCGGCTGAACGCAGCAGCAGTCTGTGGATGCCTCACTTCCACTCTTATCCATAACTCTCGGTATGCCAGCAACCAACGCACCCAAAAAAGGCTGACGCTGTCACCCGGTTAAAAACCCTAGGATGCCCACAAAGAAAATTATCTTGATGGGGGACGCTGCATGAACTGGCCCTTGCCTACCCTCCTCATCCATTTCTGCTCTTCCTCCTTAAGTGCTGCATGCCAGCCACACTGGCCTTAGCCCACAGGACTTCCCACCAACCTCCTCACACATGACCATGCTTCCCCTGGAATACCTCCCCAAGCTTCCCAATTGCGCGTTTTCTTCACCCCTTCCCTCACCACTGAGACTGCCACGCTTTCTGTCCTATAGGAAAGGAGGCACAGCCCCTGCCTCCTTCCATATCTCCAGGGCCAGCACAGGGAAAGCTTAGGGATCTGCTGACCTGTGGGCTTCACAGTCATTTTTCATGCAACCACCCTATGTGAGGAAACTGAGGCCAGGCCTTCTCAGTCACGTTGAAAAAGTTATTGTCAGCTTCTCTGGCACTTAGAAGTCTTTGAAAATGTTACACAAATTGGTGTCTTATAAAGTCAGCCATATCCAGTCTCACTTCCTGTCAAATCATGCGTAGTGGCTCACACACGCAAACCTGAGGCAATCTTGAGATAGTTTCAGACCTTATTTCACAGAAATCCTAAAACTCACATGTACACCAGGAGCTGCTGCAGTCTCTACACTCTCTCTTCAACCAGACTTAGCCCAACCCCCGCCAGCCAACAACCGATGTCCCATCTCCATACTTCCCATTAATATAAAAATCATTCTGTGAGTCAGTGAGATGGCTCAGTGGGTAAAGGATTTTACAGCCAAGACTAATTATTTGAATTCAAACCCTGAATCCATATTGTAGATTTTATAGTGTAGAACCAGAGACCTGATGCTCAAAGGTTGCTCTCTGAGCTTCACACAAAGGAAATATAAGAAGATATAAAAATATACTCATAGCAGTTGTTTCATTTCTTACAGAGTCAGTTCAAAGCCAGGCACAGTGGCTTATAACCTCTATCCAGCAAGCCGAAGCAGGAGGGTTGCTATGAATTCAAGGCCAGCCTGGGCTACTCACTCAGTTCTGCCAAGAACAAGCCTTATGTACATTAAACCCCTGAGGACAGTGAGCCACCTTATGTACATTAAACCCCTGAGGACAGTGGGCCACAGATGACCACTTAAGGACCCCGCAGCCTTGCTGAGGTCCAGCCACGTCCACAGCATCCGTCACTGTGAGCATCATCACAGCACTGTGCTACCCGACCATGGACCGCTTCCGCCCTCTCAGGCGCACCTCATCTAACTTCTTCAGCACCGGACTGGACTTCTTGGATGAGGCACTGTAGCTCTTAAGAAATTCTTCAAATACAGCCTCGGTGTGGGGGTGAGTGCTGAGGAAGGCCTTCTCCAGGACATAGAGGTCGACACCTTTATCTTCTGGCAGTCCTGAAACAAAACTCAGCCCAAAGTCAATGAGCACGATGCACAGCTGCTCCAGGGGTCGTTTCAGGAGCATGTTGGAGGTGGTGAGGTCCCCGTGAATGAGATCCTGGTCATGCATTCTAGCCAGAACCTGCCCAATTCTCCTGGCCAAGCCGAACAGGCATTGGGGGTCTTTTTCAGTCTCCATAGTGGATTGAATATGATCTCGAACAGTCACCGAGTCCTCAATTTCTTCCATATATAAGCAGTTGGAAGCATAGTCCACAAAGAAGACAACTGGAGCAGCTATCCCTGCAATGGACACCGGGTTAGCGAGTGCGTTCCTTATGTAGGCAGGCTTCCCCCGAGCAGGTGTTCAGTCTACATTCACCTACTTTGAAACAGGGTTCAGGAACTTGTGGGAAATGTTTCAGCTTATCCAGAAGCTTGCCCTGCTTAAGCCCTGCAGGACTATGGTCCGAGAGCAACCCACCTAAGTCTGGAAGTATCAAAGTTTGCTCCTCCTTTCTCCAGCCATCTTAGGACTGGAATTCATTGTTACTCCCTTAAAAAAACAAAAAACAAAAACAAAAAAAAAACAAAAAACAAACAAAAAGCCAGTGGAAATCATCCAACAGTCTGAGCAGTTTCTACCTGACAAGGACACAGACAGAAGACTAAGTGTGTGTCATCTTACAGACTCATCTCTGTCGAACAGGTGGGTTCAAATCCCAGCTCCTCCTCATTAGTTGTGAAACCTCAAGGTTTCTTTAGCTACTCTATGCCTCAGTTTCCACAACTGTAAAGTGGTAGCAATACTTCCAATTAACTGCAGGAGTCTCCCCTGAATGCCAACCATGTTCAGGACACTTTCCTAGAAACTGGAGACCTATCAATGAGGTAGCCAGCACTGTTTTCTGATAAAACTTATGAGAAGGTAAAACAGAAAGTATGAACACTACTATATAACTCCAGTAACTCTGCCAGGGCAAGAAAGTACTGGCCTGTACCCTGTCAGGTTTCCCCAGATTGCCTGGCATCTTTCAGTGTTCTGGTGCAAAGCTGGCACCTAAAAACCACTAAGGAGAAAAAAAGCAAAGGATCAGTGCTTCTGGGCCACAGACAGGCCTCCTGGTAGCTGTAGAAGCTCAAGCACTTTCCCTCTTTGTGTCTCAGTTTCTCTGGAGGACAGTCTTTTGTTTTTGTTAGGGGTGTAAATGGTTTTTAAAGAAAAACATAAATGATATTGTTAGGACCATCAAGAGCCTAAATATAAGAAGGTATGAAGAGAACCCAGGAAACTAATCATCCATCAATGCAAAATCACAAGAGGTTCGTTTTGACCATTGCGCAATGGGGTCACCCCTGCCGGTCAGCAAGGAGTGGCACCGGGAGGCTTTTTAAAAGACAAGGCGTGAGAAATTCTAGGGGTTGCCTTCTTGGCAATTCATGATTGGATGAGGTATTTAACTTTTAAAATAATTGGTTGGTTCTGGGCACCCTTAGGTCTGGTCAGCCCTGTCATAAATATCTGATCTTCAAGTCAGTTTGGAATTTCCTGCCATATGAGATACAGCCACAGTTAAAGGTGGGAGAGTGATTAACTCATCCCGTGTCTGTTCTGAGGAGTGGGGGTTACAGGCTTTGAATCAAAGGTCAGGAGAAGGTTGGGGTCATTTGGCCCAGTTTCCAAACAAAGCTCATCTCACAGGCGCCAGCCAGTGATTTTCTCTCCATTTAGTAGAGATCTCTGCTTGTTCTCTTCCTTATCTCTGCCCTCACAAATGGCTAATGTCAGAAACTTTTACATTCCTCAGCTCTCTGGAGAAGCACTAAGAGGCTTTAATTAACATGGGCCTAAAACTTGAAAATATAAGTTATAAGGCAATTAAAGAAACATAGGTCACAAAGTTAGTCTGATTCTTCCAATATAATGAAATCAGACGTTTACTGACCACCACGTCAGCATACACACAGGTGATGCATACGCCATTTTTAATGGTCACATCATCCCTGAGATTCCCTTTACATAAAAGGAAAAGGGTCATGTGGGAAGCAGCCTAGGGAGAATCTGAATCCAGAGATACGAGCTCCAGACACGCGCCTGTCAGGACACCTGCTACTTAAAACTACCAGATGGAGAGAGGGGGACGGTAAGCGGAAATGATGAAAATGGGGAAACTGAGGCTCCGGACGCTAAACGACAAGTTGAGAGACAGCTGCGGAGCCGTGCCAACCAAGTGGAATGGCGTCCCGTGCGATGCCATGAGTTCATAAGCATTGCCGTCCGATCCCGTCCCCCGGGCCTCGGAGCCCCGTCTGTCCCGTCCCGACCGTTGTCCCAGAGAGCCCCCCCGTCCCGTCCGCCTCACCCGCGCGACGGCAGCGGAGCAGCGCGCGCGCCTCCTGCACCGTCCGCCGCCGGCCGAGCCGCGCCTCCAGCGCCGGGTGCCGGTAGGTCTTAGGGAAGCGGTGCTTCACCACCGCCGCGCGGCCCTGGAAACGGCCGCGGAAGACGCGAGCCTCGGCGCCCTGCTGCACCAGCTCCAGGCCGCTCAGGAAGAGGTGGCACCGCTCGCGGGCCGCGGCCAGCGCCTCGGCCTCACCTTCAGGCTCCGGCTCCGACGACGCGCTAGCCATGCCCTCTGCTTGTGCAGACTCGGCCGCGCCGCTTCCGTTCGGTTCGGAAAGCCTCCGGCCTCTTCCGGCACGAACACAGCGCCCCTAACACACTGCCGCCCTGAGAGAGTGGTTCCGCCTCCTAACCTTTCCGACTCAGCCGAGCCTCTCCGGACGCGCTGTTTGGTTTGTCCCCCAGCTCTTCGACTATTTCCGTGAGCTCTCGGCAACATTCTCCGGAAGTTCGTTGGTGATGCTCAGGCTTTGGGACCCGCCTCCAAGTTGGAGGTTCTTTTGGGAAAACTTTTGTGGATGTTCTGCTCCTTTCTACTAGTTTTTCCTTTCCTTTTCTTTTTTTCTTATCTTTTTTCTTTTCCTTTCTTTTTTCTTTCCTTTCCTTTCCTTTTTCCTTTCCTTCCCTTTCCTTTCCTTTTCCTTTCTTTTTTTGAGACAGGGTCTCACTGTGTAGCTCAGGTTAGCTTTGAACTCGTGATCTTCCTTCTTCAGTCCATGTAAATATGCTTGGTAAGCCCGGAGGAATGAAGGGGCTAGGCAGAATTTTCTCACCGGCGACACCACTAGTGCCTAGCATCAACAGCCAGCACCATCTCTCGAGTTTCGGTTTCCTCATCTTCAGAATGAGGGTGCCTGGTTCTGCCGGGGGCGAGGCCATCTCAGAATTAAATAAGAGGCTGATTACGCGGCGCTGGTGGATAGGGGCCCTCTTCACATGGCCTCTGAGCTCCCTGCTCCTGCCCCACACTCCTTGGGCCCCTGTTGAAAATACAGAAGAGAAGGTCCAGGGTCGCTATGGCACCAGCATCCTGGCTCTGTGGTCCCTGGGTTTCGTTCACACTCACGACAGGTTCCTTTTCATACATCAAACTCTTTGTGTGGGCAGAATGTGTTTTCCAGCAAAATTCACCCAGGACCGGTTCCGTTCAAATTCCCCCAGTGCTCAAGTGTGTAGCTTCATTATCATAATTGTGTCCTCACGCCCATCTCTATGGCGACCAAATCCTTGCCTTAGAAATCTATGCAAAGGCGCTGATAGAGCCAGGCTTGCTAAATCAGGCTGGATTAGCTCCTTAAACCAGCTTCAAACCTTCCAAAGACTCCCTACTGTTCTGAGGATAAAGACCTAAACCTTAGTTCAGCCACGAACTCCTTATAGACCCTTCCCCTCTTCAGCGCCCTCCTCCCCTCTGCCCAGAGCACCTGCTGGTTCCTCTGCACCGGCAGGGAGAGGGAGCTGTTCTTCCACGCCCTCCTCATCACCGAGAGCCCCATAGAAATCAGGTCCAGGGTCACTTCCCCAGACAAGCCCTTTCTGGTCTCTCTGAGGAGTCCAGCTTTTCTCAGCCCCAATTTTCTAGTTTCCAGTCCTGTCTCGGATTCCCTTTGTTTTTGGCCATGCGACTGCTTGATTGATGCCTACTTCCCACTATGTAGCTAGTGAAGAGACAGAGGGCTGTGTGGTTCCCACTCTTCCCCGGGGAACAGAGAGGTGAGCACCCCTAGAGTGTCTTAGGGATAAGAGAAGGAAAAAACCAAAATGCCGGTGTATACCTGTGATCCCAGCACTCACAGACTGAAGAAGGAGGCTGCAAGCCTGATGCTTAGTGAGCCTGGAGCATGGGGATACTTAAATGCAAATTTTGACCTTTTAAAAATATTTTTATCTTTTTGTGTGTATGACTTTTTTTTTTTTTTTCCTTAAGCACCGAATGGTGAAGTGGAATTGATGGCTTCTTGTCTATCTGAGTGCTGAAAGGGTAGTTAGCCATGTGGGTGGAGACCTTAATGGCACTGAATGAGAGAAAATGAGTTGGCTGGGGTGATGGGAGACAGGTCGGTCCACAGCTGGCCCCTGTAACTTGGCAGGAGAGCAGGAAGCTGATGATCAAGGGGGATGGCTGGGTCCCTCTTCATTTGGTCATTTCCAGGAGCAGACAGTAGTCAAGTGCAAGTTTGAGTGCGAGGTCATGTGTTCAAGCTTCATCCCGAAATATGTCAGAAAGGGGTGTGGTAGGGATGAGAGGCTGCCATTGAGAAGTTGCTCCTCAGGGAGCAGCGAATATCCCACTGAGAACAAGAGCTAGCGAAGAGAGCCAGTGCCCTATCGTGGGGCGAGGTCCTAAGAATATGGAAATTTTGTCCAGGAAGAGGAATGGAAATGGGTTGAAGGCCCGCAGCAAAGAGCGACTCCATCCAAGACAAGGGCTGTCACTGGCAGCTATGAAAGCTCGCCTCACAGCTAGCTCTGAACATGTAGCGTTCCTAGCTTGTTAGAATTCTAACACTGATGTGGTGGCTTGAATGAAAATGACTCCTGTAGACTCATAGGGAGTTGTGCTATTAGGAGGTGTGGCCTTGTTGGAGGAAGTGTGTCACTGGGGGTGAGCTCTAAGCCTTCAGTTGCTCAAGACAGGCCCGGTGTCACTCTTTCTTCCTGCTGCCCGCAGTGGACACAGATGTAGAACTCTGAGCTACCTCATCAGCACCATGTCTGCCAGCGTGCCACCATGCTTCCTGCCATGATGATAATGAACTAAACCTCTGAACTATAAGCCAGCCTCAATTAAATGTTTTCCTTTATATGAGTTGCTGTGGTCATGGTGTCTCTTCAACAATAGAAACCCTAATTAAGACAACTGCCACTAAAATCAGTTCTAGGCACATAAATCAGTTGGTAAGCAGTTTCCTAGCCATTTGCTTTGTCACTGGCAGAAGAGGCAAATGGCTGTCTGTAGTGCCTATTACCATATCAGAGCACATGCTGGCCTCCAGGCTTTCTCACAGAGTCCATGCTGGCACCCTGGCTCTTCTCAGATCTTCTCCCTTCCTTACCTTAAATTTCTCCAGCTCAGGGGCTTGATGGGCACGAAGCCCTGGGTTTTGTCCCAGCACTGTATAAACTGGGCAAGGTGGTACACACACACCCGCAACCCCAACACTTGAGAGGCTGAGGCAGGACAGAGTTTTAAAAGGTCTTCTTTGAGTTTGAGGCAAGCCTGGGCTACATGAGACCCTGTCAAGGAGGTGAAAGGTATGTGTCTAGGGGAAGTAGAGGAGGGAAAAAAGGAAAGGCAGGACAAGAAAAGAAAAAAAAAAGAAGGCTCCCATGGTAGAAGAATGTACACACTAGGTGACAGGTTCCCTGGCTATGGCAGGCTGAACTCCAGCCCTGCTGCTCAGGGAGTCCAGACTATGGTTGTCAAATACCTTCTATGATGTTCTAGGTAAGAGTCTGGCCATGAAGAACCAGCCTGCTTCCATCTTAGGCTTGAAAGCCATCTTATAATAAAGACAAACTAAGTTCATTCATTCCTGTTTATGATTAAACCTCTGTATCTTAAGGATTGGGCTATGTCCCAGCTGAATCTTAACTACAAATGGTTCTGGATGGCTCATTCCAGGAATGGCAACCATGTCTTTGTTTCAGGGGGTCATTATGGCTAACTGGTCATGTTTATGTTCTGCTCCTGTAACCCACATATTTTGCTCACCAAATCCCCCATTTGGAAACCCCCTGAGCTATGACAGCCATGTCTTTCTCACATCTAGGGCTCTCTCTCTAAAATCCCTACTTAGGGTGTGACAGCTGGCTGGCCAGTCCCAGGTACACACGTAAAATAAAGCTTGCTTTAATGAGACAGTTGTGGATTTGCTCTTCATCCTCGAAATCTTCAGGTTTAACAGACAGCTTTACAGACAAGACCATGCAGATCGTTCCCTCCGCCCCTCTGTGCACTGCAGAATCCACAGGGCACTGTGTAAGTGAGTGGGCAGGGCTGCCTGCCTCATGAACAACACGGACAGCTGGCTGTGCTCTGCTGCCTCCTGCCGGGGACCTGTAGCCTTCAGTTGGCCACAGTCTTCAGCACTCCCTGCTGGCCAGCTTGCTCCCTCATTTGTATGACTTGTGGACTTGCACAGAGACTGTTGTTTGAATTTGCAGTGCCTGCCTCGCCTATCAGCTGGCTGGGCCCTTTTGCTCTATGAGAACTTACAAGTTAGGAGTGGCTCTTCTGTGTTGACAGACGGGGACTCATGTGTGCCAAAAGCTGATGGGTGGGGCCCACTGAGGCTTACAGCTTCAAGTCCTGACACCAGGAAGCTTGAGATTCCAGGCTCTAGCGCCAAGACTTATGGCTCCAGGTGCCCACGTTAGAGGCTTGTTGCTCTGGCTTTGGATTGCCAGTGGCCCAGCACTCCACAACTAGTGTGTTTCTCGGCTCCTCATAGCAGCAGTCAGGATCAACTAGTGTCACGGTTCCCTAGCCTCAGTGACACAGGGGAAACTGGAATAAAATTGATGCTCTAAAGGATTTTGCTTAGGAAATATAAAGTCTCAGGGTTAGTGTGGTGGTTTAAATGGGAATGGCCCCATAGATTCATGTGTTGAACGCTTGGCCATAGGGAGTGGCCCTATGAGGAGGCATGGCCTTGTTGAAAGAAGTGTGTCACTGTGGAGGCTTTGAGGGTCGTAGATGCTCAAACTACGCCTGGTGTAGCAAACAGTCTCCTGTTGCCGCCTGGGGATCCAAAGGTAGAGCTCTCAGGTCCTTCTCCAACACCGTGTCTGCCCACAGGCTGCCATGCTTCCTACCGTGACAGTAATAGACTAAACCTCTGAAACTTTAAGCCAGCCCCAGTTAAAATGTTTCCCTTTATAAGAGTTGCTGTGGTCATGGTGTCTCTTCACAGCAATGAAACCCTCACCAAGACAATTAGTATTGCTGTGAGGAAACACGAGGACCAAAAGCAACTCAGGGAGAAAATAGTTTGCTTGGATTATAAATTCACATTATAGTCCATCGCGGAAGTCAGGACAGGAACTTAAACAGGACAGGAACTTGGAGTCAGGATCTGATGCAGAGGCCATGGAGGGTGCTGCTTACTGGCTTGTTCTACATGACTTGTTCAGCCTGCTTTCTTATAGAACCTAGGATACCAGCCCAGGGATGGCACCACCCACATAAGATGGGCCCTCCCACATCAATCACTAATTAAGAAAATGCCCGGGGTGGAGAGATGGCTCGGTGGTTAAGAGCACTGCCTGCTCTTCCTAAAGG